AGAAATCCGGAAAGATCTGAGAAACCATAACACCCAACTGGTTCACCGAATAATCGCCGACAATACCAGCATGCGAGTCCTACGATCCAGGATGGTCAGAGGAAAAACAAAAATGTCCAAGATGAAAAACGAGCAGGGAGAAATCGTCACAAAAAGCGGACATAATAGAAATAGTCGAGAACTTCTACTGCAAACTATACAGCACGACAGTGCCCAAGCCGGACCGCATATTAAATGAGAAGAGGCAGAACATCTTAATGGGGGCTCTGAGGTGATACCAGAAATTAATAGAAATGAACTGCGAGCTGCGCTGAGGAAGATGAGGAACAGTAAGGCACCCGGAGAAGACAGAGTGACGAGCGAAATGCTCAAGATGGGAGGAGAACCGCTGGAGGAGGCATTGCTCATCCTCTTGAACAAATCCCTACAGGACCAACAGATTCCAACTGCGTGGAAGAATGCTGAGGATATCCTGCTGTTCAAAAACGGCGACTGCGCAAGAGTGGAAAACTACCGACCGATCATCCTACTATCCACCTTCTACAAATTGTTCACAAGAATAGTTACAGACCGCCTGACCAACAAATTCGACTTCTATCAGCCAGTCAGTATCACAGGCGGGGTTTCGAAGAGGCTATAGCTTATTCCTCTTAACCTGACCTTCATAGATTATTGAAAAGGGTTCGACTCCATTGAGATATGGGCAATACTGAAGGCAATGGATAGGGCGAGAATCGATTCGCGCTGCTCCAACCTTATCCAACACATGTACGCCAGTACAACACTCCGGGTCAAACTGGAGGAAGACATGGTGACGAAAAAAATCCAGGTTGAGAGAGGAGTTCGCCATGGAGACGCGATATCTCTCAAGCTGTTTACCTTGGCACTGGAAGACATCTTCAAGAATCTATCCTGGGAGAAGGGCATTAATATCGACGTCACCTATCTAAACCACCTGACATTCGCGGACGACATCGTACTGATAAGCAGCGACCCAGAGGAACTGAACAATATGCTGGAGCAACTTTACAAAGTATCAGCGGGGATTGGTTTGAGGATGAACCTTCAAAATACAAAGATGTTGAGCCCGGACGCTCCCCAGATTTCGGCGGTGGAAAATTATATCCTAGAAGCTGTAGAACAGTACATCGACCTTGGTCACAGTATCAACCTGGGAACCAGAGCAAAGAAAACCAGACCACCGAAATAACAAAAAGGATAGGACTAACATGGACAGCGTTTGTGAAACTCGGCTTCGTCCTCTAAAACCCAGCTATGCCCATTAATCTGAAACGGACAGTATACGAATCCTGCGTACTACCGGTAACCTACAGGGCGAAATTAACAGCAGGAGGGGACCTGGCCGAAGGAGAATGTCTTGGTTGGCAAATTGTAGAACGTGGTTTGACAGATGATCAGCGGAACTTTTCCGAATTGCCATCAAGAAAGTAAGAATAGCCATGCTGATAGCCAACGTCCGGAGCGGATAGGCACTTCAAGAAGAATTTGTAACTGTCCTACACTGCACTAGATAGCGCGCACTATTCAAGGATTGATTTTATTCGATACTGGCAATCATTCAACAGTACAATTTCAACATAACAATAAGGGGCTGTGATGAGTGTGAATGTGATCTGGGTGCTGAGACGGCTCGGCACGCCTGGACGGTGGTGTGTATGAAACCAGTCACGGAGGCTGCGCGTGAGAGTTTAGCTCCGGAGAATCCCTGCTGGCGCTTGAGAGGCATGGATGGGAGGCGAGATGGGAGTATGGTTAGTATGTTTGTAGAATATGCTGAAGTCATCGTCAGGGACGTTCGGTCGAAGCCCTGTCTCTCCTCTGTGACTGCCTGGGGCCCCTCTTCGACAGCACTGCGTGGCGCTCTAATTTTAGGAAATACGTTATATAGGTTAAGGTATGGGTTACGGTTATATAGGTTAAGAGCTGCCAGAATCTCATCGATCCCCGATTGCGGGGTATGGTGGTTTGGCTGATGGTGGTGTGTACATGGCCCTATGGCTTCGGCTGGATGGGCTGCCGAGAGGAGTAAGTCCTTTCTGTGATATCGTGCAGAACTGTTTGAACCAGTTGCGATGCGCACTATCGATTGTTTTAATTTTAGTAATTAATTTGCGTAATTAAATGCGTGTAAATAGCTAGCTATTTTATTTATACTTTAAGACTGTACTAAGACTTTATGTTGGATATCGTACAATCCCCCCTGTGCAGTATCAGTCACGTTAACTTTAACGTGCATGTTATCCGTCAAACACGTTATGTGGCTCCAATTGGTGTGTTGTATCAGTAAAACATTTATATTACAACAGGTGCACGCTATCGACGAATGTTATATTAAGAAATAGCGCTTCAGAATAACAGCATAAAATCACATGCCGCTATCGAACTTAACGTGCGTCCCTCGAAGTTAACTTCGGGGAATAAATAAAACAATTGTGTTTAATCAGAGCGTAGTTTTGTCTTTTAGCTATAACTTGTTTTTAATTTAAAAGACAAATTTGTCTTTGGTGGTCTTATAAGGTTAGCTTTATCAGAACAATTGGTAAATGGTCTTGAAAATAAACTTTATTTTCCTCCACAAACTCTACTAAATTTTCAAATTGTTTGCGGGTTGTTTCTTTTCCTGTTCTGTACATGCTCCATTGAAAGTGTTTGAGAAGATAGGGCAAGAACAATAACGAACAAAATTGAAAGTGAATGCAAATCATAAACAAAGACAAGTATGGTAGTAGGTGGGCCAAATGGTCAAAACGTGCACATGTGGTGCATATGTTTAAAAGCTTCGATGGTTTGATGTTAACTCTCTCTCTAACTAATGGACTATTTGTAAAAGGGCATCTCACTTTATGCATTCAATATTTTTTTCCTTTTTAACGTTTTATGGATAACTGGGTCGGAAACGCATACGTAACTGGATACAGAGTTCATACTTTGATCGATCAACATCGTGCTACGCATTGCGCTCTGCAGAGCTACAGTGTTATAAATTTAAAGTGAAAACTATTTACTAGGGTTTACCATTCTTGGTTTTTGTGTTACGCTGATATTAGTGTGCTTTTCAGCACGTTTCTACAGCTGGTGCTTAAACTCCTGGTTTTTTGTGTCTGTGTGTGTTGCAGGACATGGAGGAGTCCAAAACAGCCCTCGCAGAGGAGGTGGTGAGACGCTAGAGGCCAAACTGGAGTCGACTCTGCTGGAAGTTGCATTTTGGAAAGACCGGGCGGTGAAAGCGGAAACGCTGCTAGCCGCCAACAACTCCGGAGTGCAGGATGTGGCTGCGGAGAAGGAAATGGAGGAGTGCACAGCCTCCTCCAGTGATAGTGAAGCCGTTGAGGGACCCGCTGAGGCGGCAGCTCCCTTAATTGCCTCCAAGGAGGGCAGGGGCCCGTTGACGGACTCCTCAGACGGCGAGGCCTATCAAAGCCCAAATCGCCGACAAAGGAGCAAGCGAGCCAGACCTGTGTCCTTCAGTGAGGACAATACTAAGGCCCCAATTTTGTTGCCAGGTCCGGGACAAAGGAGGGACCCTCGCAGAGCAGCCCAGCCAAGGACCACCCAGTCACCCGGATGACAGTAACAACGAAAAGAAAAAGCAGGCCACCCCTGCCGCCCAGCAGCAACGTGAAAGGAGGACAAAGGTGTCTCCAATTGTCTTTCGCCAGCAGGACAAATACGACGAGATCACGCGAAGACTGATGGCCAATAAAATCAATTACGGATGTGGAGTGACCACCAAGGAGGGAGTCAGAACACACCTTCCAACCGCCAAAGACTACAGGCAAATTATTAGGGTACTGGATACCTATAAATACCAGTACCACACGTACCAGCTGGAGGAGGAGAAACAGCTCAGAGTGGTCATTGGAGGCGTCATCAAACATGGGGCGATGGCAAAATTAGGGAAGAACTAATTGTCCTAGGATTCCACCCAACAACCATAGTGAGATGGAAGAAAAATGGCCAGCCAATAGCTACTGCCAAAAACAGAAAAGGCCGTCTTCGATGTCAGATCGCTGGGAAACCTAAGAGTCAGAGTGGAATCTCAGCATGCCAAGAGTCAGCTGACACAGTGCTTCCGGTGTCAGCTCTATGGACATGGCCAGTCGAAATGTACAGCCGCCGCAAAATGTGTCAAGTGTGCGGCCGCACATGAATCCCGGGAATGTCCAGTTCCTCGGAAAAAGGCTGCGGAGGCGCACACCCAGCCTCCTTCTCCGGATGCCCTGCGAAACCTGTACAGAAGCAGCAGACAAGAAAATAATTTCCACCAACTCGCAGGGCAGCCCCAACTGTCACCACATCACAGCCATCAGTCGGCCAAAACAGCAGGAGCTACAGCAGAGCCGTACAAAGTAACCTGCCGCCCCAGCAAGCCCCCCAACGTCAACAAGGAGGCAAAAACGGCCATGAACAGCTGTCCCAAAACCATCCAGGCCATGCCTTCAGACTGTGATCCAGGAAGATATGAAAGAACTCAGATCGCAGATCTGGGATGCTACCATGGACGGAATTGAGGCTGAAGAGAACAACCAATCGATCTGGAAACTGGCCAGGAACTTCACCAAAGGACCAAGGAGACCAATGCCACCAATCCAAGAAAATGGAATTATCACTGTGGACCCCAAAGAGAAAGTGGAGATCTTTGCAAATCATCTAGAGCTCCAATACAGAGTAAACCTGGTTGATCACCCAAAGAAAGAGGAGGAAGTGGATAAAATAGTAGCCGCACACTTCCAAAACTGGCAGACCACCAAAGCCAGGAGTGACAAATGAGATCATCCAGGACATCATCCAGGAGACGAAGATGAGAAAAGAACCTGGACATGACGAAATCTCTAATGAGGTCCTCAAAAAGCTACCGAAAGCAGCAATTGAGGACCTAACCACAGTGGCAAATGCAATCTTGGACCTCCAATACTTTCCGAACATCTGGAAGAAGGCAATTGTGGTATTGGTTCCGAAGAAAGGCTCAAAAAGGAAACTGCCCACGTGCTACAGGTCCATCAGATTATTACCAATGGTGGGCAAAATTATGGAGAGGTTTATCCTGTACCAAATCCAGGTTACAATAGAGGAAAAGAAAGTGCTGCTGGATGAGCAGCATGGATTCAGCTCGGGCCATGGCACAAGCAAACTTGCCGCCCGGCTAATAACGAGAATCCAACAAGTGTTAAATCGCCGAAAAAGTCTAGGAGCTGTCTTCCTGGACATGTCTACGGCATTTGACAAGATTTGGCACCAGGCCCTGATTGCCCAGATGATTAAGGCAGGCTTTCCAGGGTACCAAACCAAGCTCATCAGCAGTTACTTGTCTGGACGCAGTTTCCAAGTCAGAGCAGACGAGCAGCTCTCTGCAAGCA